GATGTATTCAATTGCCCGAACCTAACCGAGAACCTTCGTACATCTCCTGAGCACGACGGGCTCACCATAGCCCGTGCTGCTTGGAACTTTGTGTTCTCAGTAGCTGAATCTAAAAACAACAATAATCAGGCACTTACCTCCAATCCTTGGCTGCCCGTTTCTGGCTTCCGTTTGCATTCCTCACTCCTGACCCCATTACGAGCCCTCATGTTATTCTCGTAATCCCTATCTACACGCCTTGGGAATTCCTTGGCCTAACACGCCCTGCACTTCTCTACCGAGCCGTCTGTGACTGACTGTGACTGTATGTGGATGACTGTAACTCAGCCTCTCACAACAGCAACTGGATAGCGAGGTGGTGTGCATGATAAGCAAATCAACTTTTGAAACTAGCTGGCCGCATATGTAACTACTTGTGGTGATTGTTCTATAATCCATTGTTGATATAATTCGTTAATTCCCACTTTCATACCTTTACTTTTGTCTCAATTTATAAACCTATTTAACAACTTCCTATATTACTTCTCCTTATCCAAGTCTCAATTTACAAATTTAATTTAATATCCAATTTATTTCATTAGACGTTATGTTAATAATTCAATATTATTTTAATCCCAATCCGACATTTCCCTCAAGCCTCCGGAAAAACGCCCAACGACCCGGAACTCATCAAAATGAAAAAAAAAAAAAACACATACACCACACACCACACTTCCCTTCCCTAAACAACCCACACTCACATATATCAAACACGCTGTACCAATGAACACCCGAACACTGAAAAGAATTACTGAACAAAAAATTGTACCACTTACGGGCTATTCATGCCCGTGCCACCTCTTGAGTGGCTTAATATTTATCAATCAATCATCAATGAACACCTAGAAAAACAGACGCAAATGACATATCACCAACTAAACAACCGGTTCTCAGGGAGGAAATACGCTCACTGGAATGGATTGAGACTACATAATTAGTGCTATTATCTACTACTATTATTATCTACTCTCTATCCATGGTTAGGTTAAGTTAGGCTGTTAGGTTAAGGTTTGATTAAGTTAGTTTTCATTATAGTTAGTTATGTTTAATATGGTGTATAATTGATGATAATGTGAAATATGGAATTCGAAAACTATTTCAGTGTACACGAAAAAAAGCTAAAAAAGTGTATGAATACACTATGGCTTCCTGTCCCCCGAAACAATGAATTATTATTATTGAATGTGGGTGACTAACTCAGCCTTCCACCGCCGCCACTGGTTAGCGAGATAAGCAAATCAACTTGAAACCAGCTCACCGCATATGTAACTACTTGTGGTGATTGTTCTATAATCCATTGTTAATATAATTCATTAAACTGTATATCTGCCTTATCAAAAACTATCACCCACAGGACGGGTATAGGGTGCACAATATATTAACCTTAAACATCTAATTCATGTGTAATTAAAAGATAATTTATTATATCTAATATTTAGCTTAAGAACTCGGCACTGATACGTTGTTTAAACAATAATACAATACAGCTTGAATTCGTCTTTTATTGGGTTGGCTGCTTAATTATAGTATAATGTGAGCCATTGTTAATAGGTCTTAACACACATTTGGGTTCGTTCTCGACACACAATCGGGGATCCTGCGTCTGAATGGCGGGCAGGGCAGAAATGGTTGGAGACGTTTCCTTTCACTTAATGCATCTGTTCACCTAGCAGTAAATAGGTACCCGGGAGTTGGTCAACTGTTGTGGGGTTGCATCCTGGGGAGGGTCAGCAGTTCGACCGTGGGGAAAGGGGAGGAGGGGAGTTGTCAAAACCTAATTATGCCATAACGCAATTTATGCAAGTACTTATGAACCTGTTCGACTTTTCTCAAGCTTTGGTGGCTTTGTTTATATTCATTAGGCAGTTTAAAAACATCGAAACTTCCCAATCAAATGGTATTGTTGTTATAAAGTTATGAAGGACTTCCGGTGGATGTAGCACACATGGATTTTGTTAAAGCCTTTGATACGGGACCACGCGAAAAACTGGTAAGGAAATTACAGCCGGTTACCTTGTGATGATTTCAGGGCTCAATGTCCCCAACCAGGCCTCCTAATCATGGAAAAATGGTAAAATATTAAATTGAATAAAACAAGGGTTAAAACAAAGGGTCGTGCTAAATGGGAACGAATCTGACTGGATAAATGTCGTGAGTGGCGTCCATTCACAGATGACGAAAAGATTTGTGGTAAAGTGGGAAATGAAAATGATAATGAAACCTTACAAAGAGATCTACATCAACTTCACAAATGGTCAGGAGAGTGGCAAATGCTCTTTAATATCGGAACATGAAAGACCTTGCATGTGGGGCATAACAACCTACGTCATACTTACCAAATTAATAACATTACCTTGCAGCAGATTGATGAAGAAAAGGACTTTAAGAGTCAAAATCTACCATTCACTGAAAGTTGCACAATAGGTAGGAGCAGCAGCAAAAAAAAAAAAAGCTAACCAAACCCTAAGTATAATGAAATGTACCTTTGACTTTATTAAGGGAAAGGTGGCGATTCAATTGTATAAATTTCAAAAAACTTTGCTTTTTATATCCAAGCATGGAGACCTATTTTCAGGACATAGCTGCTCTCGAGAAAGTATAACACCGGGCAAGAAAAATCATTCCAGAACTAAGTCAACTATCGTATGGTTGAAGGCCACGGTTTACAACACTACAAACCAAACATGACAGGGCTGATCTCATGGAAACTTTTAAAATACTGAATAATTTGGAGGATGTTGATCCAGACAATTTCTTCAGGTCAGATGTAACACAAACAGAGAGCAACGGTTTCAAGCTCAACAAGTCGCAATGTAAAACTGAGAACAGGAGATGCTTTTTCACCCACAAGGTTATAAACACATGGAACTGCCCACCCGCCAAACGTGGAAATGCCAAAACTGTTAACGTTAAAAATACAGCTGTAAAAAATCCTATTCTCAAGGACAGGAAGCATGTTAGGCGTGTTTAGGTCTCCCAAGGCCAGCCACTGACCATTTCCCAGGATGCAACCCACAACATTCCCCTAACTTCCTGCTACCTTTAACTGCTAGACATCAAGTGTCGGGAAATGTACCTACGGAAATGGGTGTCAGGTGTAAGGAAATCAAACTAGGACCTCTCGTTAAGTGTAGATTTATTTTTGTGTGAGTTTGTTATTGCAGGGTTAATGTTTGCATAAATAAGGGAATAATATGTCGTACTGTATGTGACGAGCAACAATCGTGCTGACAAAGCTGCAATTGTGTCCAGAATTTGTTCTACCATATCAATGAATAATAAATTCAGTAGAGTGTAATACAACTTTAGTTTATGTAATAAAAAGTATTTTTGTTAAGAAGAATTTAGTTTGACAGATGTTATCATAAAATCTGGAGAGAAAGTTATGTTGTAAATTTTTTTTAGATTACATTATTTCAGAAAAGCTTAATAAATAGTTGCACTTTGACCCTAATTTTCAAAAAGAGAATTATAAGGTTTGGTTGATAGGAACAAATTTATTTATTTATTTTTATATACTAAGGGGGTACTCAGATGTAACCCAGGGCTCTCTTCCTCCTCTCATCTCTTTCCCTATCATTCCTCTCTTCCCACTTCCCCCCTCTCTACAATATCATTAATAATACTATATAAGCATGTGTCAGTATGTCTTTTATAATTAATGAAATAGTTGTCCATTTGCATTTGAAGCTGTAGAGGATTGTTTCTTATGCTGCTATGGGCAAAGTAGGATGATTATAAAATGTCTTCATTTTCCTGAGGTCAGTGCATGTTTCATATTATTGTAAGATAAAAGATGTTTGGAAATTTTTAATTTTTAAGATATTTAGCCAGGCATAGCAGATAGGCAGCAGCAAAATCTGTTGTCAGTACATGAGCATGGTAGTATGTGACTATGGCCTGCTGATCTCTCTTGAATTCTGGTGACCCTGACGAACCTGTGTCCATCCCGTACCCCAGACCATTTTCCCTTGCAAAGTTGGGCGAGGCTCGTCCCAAGCATCTAGCCTCCAACCTTGATGGAACAGACTCACTCACTCAAAGGTGTAATTGGTTGTGAAAATACATATTTTGGTGATTAAATGGTACATTCTTGGTAAGCCACTAAACATGCATAGCATTTCAGGCAAGATCTAAAACCATAATATAAACGGCAGGAATAATCACGGAGACACACGTTCTCCAAAGTTAATAATTGGACTATTAGGATGCCATACAGGGGACAAACATGAATTTAAGTGCAGAAATCAGCAGTCCAATCCACAACAGATCTCAGATGTGGGAAAACAGAAGCTTGCCTAAGCTCAAGTTTTTTCAGTTTATTTTGCTATATATATTTTGCAGTTGTCCAATCTGTCCAATTTGCTATACAGTATACTGTATATTTTGGTCTGTTAACTGTCTTTTCTGTCAAGACCTTTGGTTTAGTCGCTCCTTTCAATGGGGAGATCTGACCGAGGCTTGTATCCTATACTCTTTTTAAGTTTTAAATTTTTCTTTGCTGATATAATTGGAATTTGTCACCAGTGAACATAACGTAGTTTTCTGTTGTTATTTTTAGAAGAAGTTTCTGTCATTGGAGTTGGCTCGAGTGATCAAGTGAGTGATCTTGGTAAAGAAATTGGGTGCCGAGTAAAATTTAACTGCTGTGAATTGGTTCATCAGTTCCTTCTTTTTTTGTGGAGGCTGTTGGACTGTCTGAATGTATTTTGGTGGAGGTGCAGTCACCTGGTGGCCGAGGTTTATAATTACTTAAAAAATTAATTAAAAAACCCGGCCTAGGTATATAATTATAAACTGTTATAATTGTTACAATTATAACAATTAACATAATATAACAATTATAAACTGAGGACAATATAACAATTGTCTAGCTGCTATTTACAACTAACAATAATTGACATGGCTTAATTTAAAAACTCCTGCAGATGGGGGGGGGGTTATTGAATTAAATGCATTAGTATTAAATCATTTTTATGACTTTCAACAGTTCATATGTACAGAAGTGAAACAATGAACAGATTTTGATCTGACTACATGAATCCTTCGTCAACTTTAAATTGCCTACATTCAATAGTAAGCTTGGTAACATTTTTGGCACAGCAACTGTTTACAAAATAAAGTACAAGCAGTATCTCAATAAAATCAGAATGTAGTGAAGACAGAGGCAAATAAATTCAGACTTCTTAGGCGAGTAATTTCACAAGATGATGATGATACCACTAAGACCATTCTAAGCTTATCAAAATCAATTCAGTTACTACTGAGCTAATTTTTACAATAATTACTTAATTATTATGGCAAATGTTTTACATTAGTTACTATTTCTGTCAATTCAGTACTACTTTGTAAGTAAACACTAACAAAATAAATTAAGTGCATTAAATCATTAAATTACTCTACATACATATTACTCTGTTAACCACACTGATACTCAAGTTACCTGAAAACTACTAATTACACGGTGCAGTACAAATGTAACCTCCCTAATACGAGTCTGTGATCAGGAACTTGAAGATACTTACTAGGCATAAGAATGTACAAAACAAATTGCCCGAGAAATTTAAACAATAACTAATAAACCTCAACAGCTTTAATACACTCGAATATTGGCACCTGCGCTGCACCGAAACTCAAACCCTGCAAGCACAATTAGGCGAGTACCTGCCTGAAGACGGGTCCTTAACATGTGTAACAAGTTTAAAATATGTAAACCTTTTATGTGAAATCTTGTGCATCAACACCAAAGAGTGAATGGTGAACTTAAATTGAGCAAATTATTGACTACTGGAATTTTCTTTAAGTAGATAATGCTTAATTAATGATGTTTAAAACAAAGGAACAAGAATATGTTATCGTAGTTTCATGTAGTTTCATGTGCTAGAACAATAGCAAATAAATGCTAAAAAAATAAAATTATATATTCACTGCCACTTAGTGTTCTGTGGTCATCACTGAAGTTTGTGCCTTAAGTTTTACTAAAAAAAATTTCAACAAAAATAATACAGTAATAATAATAATATTTAGTTACCTTTTAAGTAAAATTTTATCAAAACAATTAGTAACTCTATACATAACAATTCACAATAGCCTGCCATATTCATTCTAACTTATTACCTAATGATCCAAAATGCGAAGATTTCCGGACACAATTTTGTTCTCCAAGATGGCACCAGGAGGTATGTCAATGCGATCCCCATGGTTAGCAATAATAATAACAGTCCCCTGAAAGAAAAATACAAGTTATTAGAACAGCTAAATTATAACAATGCAGCTAACATATTATTCACCTGTAAAGGTTCAATTCAGATAGCCAGCGAGAGATAAATTAGGACAATCCTTCCATGGTCACATTTCTGAAATGGATTTGCAAAATCTGTTCATACAATACAGTGGCGCCTCGATTAACGAATTTAATTCGTTCTGGCACCGAGCTTGTCATGTGGAAAACTCATCTTGTGAAACAACAACAAAACTGTCGTCGGAGGTGTCCGAGAACCAACGGGAACACTCATTAATCGAGCAAAAGCTCATTAGTCGAGACAAATTTTCTGCGAGTGGCTTGCTCGTTACTCGAAATGCTCGTAACTGGAGCTGCTCGTTACTCGAGGTTCCACTGTATTAGAATTTTAATTTGCTTCTAATATCAATTTTAATGTAGTAATCAATTAGTTGCAAAATACAGTACAAGATCTCCCTCTTTGAATGCAATGTTGACATGGTTTGTATGACTCATTGTTTCCCATAAAACTGTTGAGTTAGCCTCCTAAAAGTACTCACATTATGAAACTATACAAATAATTCATTGGTCCAGCTTCCACATCATGAAACATTGTATAACATTATTCACAAGTAAATTGTCATAAATATTTGTAATGTCATATTTCATATTTTTGCTGTTAGATACCTGACAAATATATAGATAAACACACACACACAGTTGAGGATAATGAAGCCTTAATTTTACGAACAGGAAATTCTGCACCAAAATTTACCTTTAGACTAACGCCCTTTCCAAATGTAACATCACCTGAAACAGTCAGATGATCCAATTCCAGCATGTCTGGTATTGACGCAAATCTTCGGAGGAACTCCTGAAATGGTTGAGAATTTAATTCTTAAGTCTCTTTTTCATGCAAGAAAAATAAGAAATGTTAGTGTTATGGAAGGTAGATATGATGGAGTTTTGGCCAAAGGTTCAAGCATAGGGGTTGCTTAATAATCTATTCAGTGTGCTGAACAATGAGATACTGACACCACAACCTTGGTTTTCAAAAGGATTCAAACAATTTGAACATATCAAAACTGTCAGAATTTTAAAGCTTAATCTATAAAATCATCTAAGTAACTTAGCATCACAGACAGCACAAAAAGTGCTTTTGCTAACTACCCATTGGCTCGCTTGGTCACCTCTCTCTCTCTCGATCAGCAACAGGTGGCAGAAGCTACACATTAACAGGGGACTTCCCCCAAAACTATACAAGCTACATAACCTAAATGAGAGCATTGAAAGGCTGAATAATTTAAGGAACAGCATACTAATAATTTTGCACCCTGATAACTGTCTTGTAATTAGCTCAGATTAGCTTACCTTTAAAGGATTGATAAGTGTGTGTAAATTCAATCATTTAATAATAGGAAGGTATTTATTTACAGACGGTGATTTGCCATCATAATTAGCAACTTTCTATATAATTGAAACTTGGCATGTTTATTCCCATACTAAGAAAGCAGTACAATACTCCAATAAATATGAATATTGTATAATCTGAATACATGTTTGAGAAAACTAATTGTATTTTGATTTTTACTCATATTTGAATATAAAAGACCTTTAATTTTACTGTACTGTACTTTAATTATCACACGTTTCTGACAACCTTTAGTCCAAAAACTAACCTTGACTCTGCCAAAGTGGTTGGGTCCCAACTTGACGAGGGGAGTGGTGTCGAACATGCGTATTGGAGACATTGCCAATGTTCCTTGTTGTAGTTTATACAGGTTACTCATCACTAATAACAGGTCATCAGTCTTCTTAACAGGCAAGAATCTCGAGCGGGGAACATTGAGACCTATATTAATACAAACAGAATTATGTATATACCACAAATAAGTACTTAAGTTTCAAATAAGTACTAAATTTCAGACAAATTTTTTTTTTAAATTAACAGAGAAATTTTATAATTTTTGGTACCACAAACCAGGCAAAGTTCTCTCCAATAAAGTAGTTTCAGTAGACTGGCCAGTCATGGGAGTAATGAGCTACCATTGAGGACGTACTGATGTCATCCCTCAGAAATGATTCTGTTGGTCGCTAATCTAACTTCTGCACCACTTGGCCTGAAACATTTATATAATCTCTGCATTGCCCTATTATGAATATTATAAGAACTGTGGACATTTTGCCATTATAGTGACATGGTAATAGTTTCCTGTAAAGCTACAATGTGTGGAATGTATGTGAAAATTTGGATGTCACTTAAAATATCCTGAACACACTTTGACAATGGGACGTGCTTCTTTACTCCATGAAAGAGGGGAAATGGGGACATCATAACTTAGCTAATAATTAATATTTCAGTTTGCTTCTTGTGCATTTTTATCCTTGCATGTTTGTTATTTTCTATTTATTCACTCCAAAGTACTTTCTGAAGCTATACTAATTCTTTCAAAATTTTTTTGATCTTCACTGAAATTGGGTGCCAGCTACTTCACTTGTGTTGTAAGGAAGGGGTCTTTTAAATGTGCTTTAATGGTAAAAATGAATTTTTAGCTTCCGCCAAGGCAACTGCCAGTTTTGCGCATGCAGGGAAGGAAGGCATATTCACTGTAGGTGAGGAGGCTGCCCTCTACATGAATGTAAGCAGTATTGTTTGCACATTAGAAATATACACAATCCCATGTATATTTTGAGTAGAATACAATATTAAAAATAAGTGTAATGTAATCCAGTCCAAACTTCTACAAGGGGTTATTAGAAATATAATTTGAAACTCCAAAAACATTGGAACATTGGTGGGAATGATGAATACAAAGTACGACTCGGTCATTGTGTGCTGGGTTGGGTTGCATGCAAGACGTGGAAGCTGTCGCCACAGCTCTGGATTTTGTGCAGACCCTCCATCCTCCTAAAAGGATTGGGTGTCTACTCTTAAGTCCATGAATATCTGTGTAGTTTGAAGTGTGGTGCATATTATGGAAGAGAAAATGATTTTTAAAGATATTGTTAGATTTCCTCGCAAATGTCCTAGCTAGCACCTGGCAATGTTTATGATTCTTGCCCACTGTGTTTCGAATACATAATCTTAGCATAGTCTATTACTTATTATATACTCTATACTGCTAAACTAAATTTCTTTCTTTTAAATTCATTCGAACAGACAAAATATTTTTTCATCGAAGTAGTAGCTTACCTAGTGCACCATTGAACGACTTTATGGCAGCACCAACAGCTTGTTCTAGCTGAATGATGTTAAGACCATTATCCAGATGCTTGTTATTGATGATTACTTCCATATCCATTGTTTCCTCTTCAAGGATTCGGTTCACAGCTGTGGCAACAATATCCCAAATTAAGACAAACAACTTCCTTCAACTCAACATATAATTACTAATCAATCTCTTTCTCCTTTCATACTCTCAATACAGAAATGAATAATGTTAACTGGCTCTCATCTGTTGATGAATTGATGGACTGCCTGTATTTTTATTGCTCAACAGAACATGTCGCTAAATACCCCACCTGTGATTGCTTAATTTCTTGCTTATGCTCACTAGTTGATGTATCTTGAGGCACCTTTACTTTAAAATATTTTAATCATACTTTTATATTAGCATTGCAATAAATAAATTCCAATAGCACAAATTGGAAAATACTAAAATTTTCAGTTCTTGGAAACCTAATTTTGTGCGCTCCACTCCAGGCCAAACTTCTTATGTGCAGAAAGGAGAATCTTTCAGGCACACATTCAATTAAAATTAGGCAGTAAATGTATAATAAAAAAAACAAAAGTTTATTACATTACATTATTAACGATCGAGAGGCTTACCACTCAACTTTGTCCACAAGTTATTGGTGTTGAAAATCTTAAATGTCTTCACAGACTTGAAATCATCCACATGTTCTTTAGGCACTTGAGCTATCTCAAGTAACCTTAACTTTTCTTCATACTGGATCAAGGTACCACCCTACACAGAGAGAAGAGCCTAAGATTGTAAGTAGTGGTATGATAAATGTAATCTATATTATGATAAGTCACTGAAAAGAACCAACGTAAAATATTCCCACAATATTTACCCAAGATTTTCCTCATTCACTTACAAACAAAGTTTTAGATTAAGTTTAAGATTCATGTGTTGTGCATATAATAATATATTAAGTTACATGACAACTACTGTCTCAATATAGTTTATAATTTTGCTTAATTAAAACAAATATATTATACCAAGGGATGGCAGCCCTTAGCACGCGTGCAAGTATCACACCAATGAGTTTTTTCTGGTATGCAAAACTCAGGGCTTGCCTACAAAAATAATTATATAAACATACAATTTCTTTGTCGAGTTCTATATTTTAAAGTTAATAAAATGAAATTTGATTAAGTAGGTGATACCAAATAAAATGCAATAAAGAAAATCACTGACAATTTCAGTAATAATTAATAACAAAATAAAACAAATAACTTGTTTCCAAGGCATTTATCTCCACAATATACTGACATACAAATTTTGTCCCATTCAGTTGTGGCATAATTTGCCAGGCGGCCAGACATCGCACGACTCGATACACACAGAAATCGCAATAGCGTGATACACTAAGGCAGCGTCTGGGATCATCCCGGACGTAGGTTCGAACCCTCGTTAGGGCCCTTGTGGATTTGTTCATCGCATGCCTCCATTACCATCATTGTAAGTAGGCTTATAATTGCACTAATTTTTGGTCTATTTACCCATGAACCAATTGCCATAAATCTTGGTAGGTGTATGCAAAGTGTGATTATGATGAGATTTTTTTGAACTGTGTAATTTTAATGTATTTACTCATGAGGAATTAAGAATTAATAAAAGAATTTCTTTAATTTTCTTTTCTTTTATTGTGCTTTAGCCAAGTAAAATGATTATGAGATTGGGCGCTGTAATGTAATGGGAAAACAAAAAACTCATGACTGATTCATTCGATATTAAAAACAATAAAAAATTCATTTTTTTTCTTTACTATTTTGCTGGTTAAAATTTGTTTCTTTTAATTGTTTAGCTGTATATGTCAGCTAGAAATGCACTTAAACGCTAGTAACAAATATCCACACTATCGGCAGGATAAAATGACCCTAAGTAAAAATTCTCACAAAATTTTACATTAATTTAATCTTACATAACTTACAATTATCACTATTAGAATATTCTTTGATTTTTCAGCTCTAGTGTGATTTTTTTTCATTGTCTGAAAAGGTTCTCCCAGTACTTAAAAGATACAAAATAATATGTCCCAAAAAATTTTAATTGGCATGTGAGAAAATTTGGCGTCAAAGATTTGGCATTTTGGCATGCACACTTAAAACGGTTGCCCACCCTAGTTCTATGCCATATTTATTATACAAAGTTTAGAATTAAGAGATCTCTTACTTCACCCACTATGACCTCCAAATCGTTTTTTCTTGAACTTGATTACTTACCTTAACATCAGCCCTGGTCTTGTTTGTGACTTCCATTAAGAACTCGCACTTCCCAGCTTCTTCCCCGCCCAATAGGAAGTTTAAGATGCTCAGGTCAACTGTCGCACCCAAGTTGTCAATGTTGCTGATAAACACATACTCCTTGCCCTAGGGATGTGTGTAAATATTAGTAAAAAATAAATAAATAAATATACATGTATATAAAAATTCATTGTGTCAGGGGACAGGTAGCCAGAGTGTATTCACACACATTAGGCTTTTAGTGAGATTCCCCCCCCCCTCCCCCAAGGTCAAATTACTGACCCTGCCCAGGATGCAACCCCATAACAAGCTGAATAACTCCTGAGTACCTACTTACTGCTAGGTGAACAGTGGCATTAGGTAAAAAGAAACATGCCCAATCATTTCTGTCCCGCCCGGGATTCGAACTCGGAATTCTCAATTGGGCGCCGAGAACAAACCTCGACTACTACTGGAAAATTGTAAGTATTTATTTCTATTAAAGCATTATTTAAATAATTAAAATTCTACGTTGTAATAGGAATACCAGTTCATTCATCTATTCACTTCCTATAGCTTGATGACACAGAGCCAAGCTAATCAATATTTATCAGCCCATCCTCCTGTTTTGGCAGTACTTATAGTAACGATGAGGACCATAGTATATACAGTATACAATACCGACATATACCAAAATTAGAACGTAGAAATCTGAACTATTGAGTTGGACAAACCGGAAACAATTTTTTATTTGTGTTGCTTTGCAAAACTAACCTCACTAGACTTAATACATGATATTTGAGGCCTATTATAGTACAGTACACGTGTGTACTATACTAGGTCTAGGAATATTTGTGTTTTAGCAATGACGGGTTGATATTTACCTGCTTAAGGAATTCCTGCAAAAGCCCAGAGTTTTTGAAAGACTGATAGAAGTCACCGTGACCAGGTGGGTACCACCTGAAAATAAATATACATTTTTTATGCATCAATGTCTCCATCCATTTCATTTCTTTATTATGCACACCATACCCATCCCATGGGCAGTGGTGGAATGGGTAACAAGAGGCACATAATGGGTTCAGGAACTGAGCCCCATAGTCCATTTAGCTAAGCAAGTGCCAATCATGTGAAGCTAGTTATACAATTGTTAATATTACATCCATAATAAACCACCTTCACTGAAGCAACATTTAAATCAAACCACTTTAATATCTAATAAGCATTTTGCATTAATTAGCCTCTGGTATGCATGACAACCTGATGTAATTGTTTTTTTAAATCAATTACTACACATCTTCCACTTAATCATTTTAAAATACAGTATTGTATACAGTTGTATTACCATGTTTCAAATGCTTAGCCTACATATACAGCATTACTTTTATCTAAAATTTTGTTTTTAATATTTTTTTTACATTTAATAATATTATAACAACATTATTTAAAACAATATAAACAAGACCATGATACAACGATTAAGTACAGGAAAATGCATATATTAAATAAGGCCACTAGCGGCAAAGATACACAGACGCAGCTAAAAAGCTTCCTAACAAAGGCAAAAAAAATTTAAACAGGGAAATCCACTTTCGTCTCTAAGACATGAGTGTGACAAACAAGACTGTCTGCTAATCAAGTAGTCATAATTATCCACCCCCACATTATTTACAAAGTAGCCACCTTACTCTATAAAAAAAAGACTTAAATTTTTGTTAACAACAGTTTAAAATGACAAATAATATATTGTACTTACGCTTCAAGATCAGTATCTGAACCAGCAGTCTTTGCTATTGGCATCAACGATTCCTTGTTGATACGTGGATACCTTGACTGGTTGAATGTATAAGTCTTGACCTAAACAATGGTTTGCTATAAGTTAATAAGCATCATTTGAGTTATAATGTCTCTGTATACCTAATCTTGAATGCATCATCAATTTTATGCTGGTATCATTATGAAATTCCCAACTCTCAGTAAATTTGTTTTGACCTCATGTAACATCACACCTGGATCCCTGTTTTCCAGATCTCAGATTATCCAGACAGAAATTTCAGAGTTTCCACCTCCATTAAATGGGTTAGCCCCCATTATCTGCCCTTCATCACACAGTACACAGACTCTATACAAGTAATATTTTCCACATCAAATCATAATATAACAAAATAATAGCAGAGGTTTATCACGCAGTTTTTAAGCTGCTATTATGTGATGAGAAATATAACAGTACTAAGAGTTTGTAATAAAATTATTTCAGTGTCTCAAAGTATGAACTAACTACTGTATTGTGTAAACCATGATGAATTAATTCCTAAAAAATAATACATAGATCATGGAAAAATGATGTAGATAATGGCCATGTAACAAATGTGAAAATGAACAGCTTCTACTTTACCTGGAATCCCTGGTACTTGCGAATAACCTTCTCTGTGTCTTCATCGGTATTGAAGGAGTTCATTAACACCAGCGGGACATTTGAGCCATACGTCTTGTTCAGGTGCTGGAACACAATAGCGCCATATCAAACCCTATTTTTATTTAGAAACAGTATGTGTAGTCTTCATAATGGTTTAAAAAGTAAACCATTACTTTTACGTTCTTACAAAGAACTTAAAAAAAAAAAAAATTATGTTTATTTAAAAAAATTTCCACAAATAGAGTTCTCAGTACTCACCTCTATCTGCTGAACGGTAAGATCAAGGAAGGTCAGCTCAGAGCGCACAGGAATGATTGACTTGGGACCTTGGCAACCCATAGACGTACCAAGACCACCATTAAGCTTCACAACTACTAGCTTGTCAAGCATATTTTTTACATGAGCAGAATCCGGAGCCTTCAATTCTGAATGTTTCCATACCTGCCAATGGGGTAAGGTATATTGTACTTTTTTTATTATTGTAATTTACTTGAAATCTTTGTAAGCACTGAATATAGTACAGTACTGTATCATGCATATATGATTCATTAATGACTCAGTATGATGACTATTTCTTGCATTAGAATTATGATTTACTGCAGACATTTAACAAAATAAATTATACTGGAAGTTAATTACATAATTATGAAGTAAAGATACAGGTATTGCACTTACAGCTTCTTCTGGGAGTTTGTGAATTTTGTCCCATTCCACGGATGGCCCAGATTCATTGACAAATCGCCCAAAGAGTTTTTCAAACCCTTCAAAATCCTTTTGTGTAATATCTTTGTGAGATTGTGGACAGGTGACAAGCAGCTTCTCCAGCTCTTGAGCCAGCTGGACTTGTGCATCCTTCTTTGTCAGCTCCTTGAACTCCATTGATGGAGAGCGCTGGTGCCCAAACACCTATTAAGATAAAAGTGATCTACAGTGGACGATCATTTATTGTATAGTACATAAAAAGGGAAATGAGAAGTGCTATTTTACTAGTACAGTACCATATATTATGAGTATGATTATAGCTAATCATATACAAAAAAAACATAACATGTTACCCATATACTGTACTGTATTTTGAAGTATTTTGTAAATAATTTTTTTAATTTTGGTCAGAAATGAAATGCTATAGCAATGAATTGAGTTTGCTTTAATGAATCTAAGCATTCTTTTAAAATTTATGATATACAGTACATTTCTTCTTCCACTTTTTGGCTATTATCTAATATGTAACAATAATAAAATGGACAGCCCATCTCTTCAGGTATTAGCATTATTTCTGGGCTATTACACATTGATGCTCCCAGAAGCATCATCACTGAACATTCAACTGAACAGGATCAATACAGGATAAGGCGACATATTGCACCAGTACAACACATATCTTCTGACGTGGCTGGGTCACACTGATTATCCAGTGACAACTCACTCGGTCACACTGATGATCCAGTGACGACGCATTCGGTCACACTGATGACCCAGTGACGACGCACTCGGTCACACCAATGACATAGTGACGACTCATTCAGTCACATCAGTATTACCAAACACATTTTAAAAGATTCCTTCTCCATTATCACTTATTGTTATATGTTTTAATGAAATTGACCAATCCGTTAAAAATTGTAACACACACATTAGTAAATCTTATAAAACACCACAATATTAAAGTTTTCTGCACGTTGCCCTTGATAAGTTAACACGAGTTGCTAGGGTTGAATGCAGTATGTCGCTCTGCCCCGACTATCATGAGGCTGTCCAACAGGTTATTCGGAGATCTTGCTTCAGCGACCATCAGTCTCTCTTGCTAAGAATGTAGAGCTTTTGATACACAAAGAGATGGTACATCGAACATGGTACAGGGGTAAGGAGTACTCTGATCACTTGTTTGAGTCACCTCATGGCTCCAATTGATTTTCTCAATGTAACTTTTCATATTCCAAAGGCAAAATTTGTTAAGAATCCGCTCATTTGTTCATCATTTTCCAGTTGAGAAACCAATTAGAAGCGAGGGACTGGCATTTGCCACCTCTGTTTCTGCTGTCTCTCCTAAAACATTCAATAACTACTGCAGACCTACAAACTGTAAAACAAATTGGCTACAAACTGGATCTCAATGATGACGTGGACAAGTTTACACACACAACAACAGACATTTTCACATGACACAGTGTTACAACACAATCACGACACGTAACAATCTTAACCTAATTTTTCTTTCTCCCCAGCCGTTTCAACCACAACTTTTCCCTCACGCTTTCAGAATCTTGGTGACATTACTGTCATCCGCAGTTATCTTCACATAGTATAAGATCATTTTTGAGATGTTACACATGTTGCACTTAAACTGCTTTTGGTTCAAGTGCTAATGTTTAAAAGAAAAAAAAAATAGAGCCAAAAGCAGCTTCTCTGGTACAGTACCAGAACAGTACAGTATTGGCAAACTGAAAGCCAGAGCAATGTCATTAGGGCATATTATATCCCTACATAACCTAGCCAAATCTCTTTAGTCTTTTATAATGCGTGGTAGGCTTTACAAGTAGATAAGGTAGGTAAACACTTTGTCTTTAAAATAAATTTAAATTTAAAGAAATCTTTTAAAGAGAATTTTCACAAAACTATGTACAGTACGTACTTCTGTGTTCTTCTATGCTTAGTAAAAAATTACGAATGACTCGTGTTAATGGATTTTTAAAACACAGACCTTGAAATCCAGGAAACTACAGTTAGAACACTGTACACACCTCGTTATAACGATCGTAGTTCCGAGGGAGAAAGGGAAACGTCATACCACCGCAGCTCTTGGTGGTAGAAGCAATGTTAACCATTGTGGTTGATGATTGTGCTGGAACTTAAAAAAGGTGTTTGAGAGACATCTACTGGCATGCATGAGACGATGGTTGTTGAACGAGGTGTTGGCTGGTGAACGAGAGACGTCGAGTAATAGTAGCTGCAAGGGAATTTTTATTTTTTATCATTTAGCTGGAAGAGGAGCTCGAGATCAAATCAGAACATTGGTAGACTAAAAAACATCTGTGTTGCCACTTTCACAACCAGCGTTATACTCCTGCACTTCTCTAATATCAGTAGTTTTCAAAGTCTAATTTTATACTGGTGCCGATAAAATGAGAGTTATTGGTAGAACGGATATCTATAGGTCTTAAAATACCCAGGTATAAAATAATTATACCCGTAAGAATAGCAGAACTTTAATAGTGATAAATGCATCAATCGGTACCCTGTACTGTACTACCTTTGCTGTGAGCATGAGTGATGATGCACTGATGTTGTCTGTCACGAGAATATAGGCCAGATTTGCAAAAGCTGTCACATCTAAAGACGTCCATTCTTATCATAAAATGCATTCAATTTATGTAGGGATTTCCATCTTGTATAACACAATTCTTTCATTACCAATCATCTTTCTTACACAACTAGACTGTGTAGCAACTTTCTTTCCAAAATGCAACAATACCTAGTGATCAGAGCGAATCTCTTGTCACAATCATCTACATAGCACCTCTAACTGGGCTCTGCTTAGCGATGCCTCAGCTACTGGGTTGAGTACTCTGTAAACACTGCTTCACCTGCTCTGTCTGATAGCTAAAAGTTTTCACTCCCAGTATTGCTAGGCTGGAAAAATAAGTCCTTAGTGGTCCCCAGCCAATACTGCATGTTTACAGTATTGATTCCACAAATTAAATATCACAGTGATTCTCAATTATGCCTCCCTTGTATGTTATTTGATATCAGTAATCACCAGGGAGTTTATGGGTTGCCACGAGACTAATAAAACATATTATTTTCAAATGAGAAAGGGTACTGATACAAAGAACAATATTTTAACATATACAATAAAATACAAGAAAACACAAAAGAAACATCTTCCAGTATATTATAAGGACAGAATCTGAGTACTTCAAACAAAAGGTCCACTGAGGAGAAATTTAGTTTGGAAGTCTTCACAACAGAAGCAGAAGTCCCTGATCTAGGAAAGATGGCAATAAACCAGGCAGCCTTGGAAGGGTTCAAAATTTCCTGTGATGAGGTTAAGAGGCATGTGTTAGATCTTGATGTGAGAAAGGCAATTGGACTGGACAGAATCTCACCATGGGAACAATGTGTGCAGCAGCACTTTACTTGCCAATCTCCAGCAAGTTACTGGAAACAGGAGACCTACCAGAAATGATGACCAAACCACAACTCAGAAGATGGAGAAGAGACGACATTTCGGTCCATCCATTATCGAGTCGTGTGAAAGAAGAATGTACGGGCAAATATGTAAGGTAAGGGAGTATAATGAGAGGTGAGGAGCACTAAGAGAAGGTAAGAATAAGGTAAGGATAAGACGAATATAAGAATACGTTCTAATATTCTTAAATGTAAGAATACATTTCTTACATTCATCTTAGTCTTACAATATTCTTAAACTCATCATATTCTTACCATATTCTTACATTCATCCTACCCTTACCTGCGTCTCACCTCTCATCTTACTCTCTACCTTATATAAGTGCCTGTACCTTCCTCTTTGCTTTCACACGACTTGATAATGGATGGACTGAAACGTTGCCGCTTCTCCATCTTCTGAGTTGGGGTTTGCTCATCATTTCTTCTTCGAGGCTTGAGGGTCCCCTACAAACAACCAGAGATGGTACACCCCCCTATAAATTAATTAATTAAATTTAATTATTAATTAAAAATAAAGATTTAATATATACTATACCATAAAATAAAATAAAAAAAAATAATAAATACAAATAAAATTTAAATAATTAAACAAATAAACAAAAATAAAATGAATAAATCCACAAGGGCCGTGGCGAGGGATCGAACCTACGTCCAAGAGGATCCCAGATGCTGCCTTAATCGACTGAGCTATGACATGGTAAAAGAATTGCAACTGGGAAATCATATATATATTAATATTATATATATATATATATATATATATATATATATATATATATATATATAAAACTTTAGAACACTTTCCCACCAGGAGACTCGAACCCTTGCCAGCAAAGATGCCTCGCAGCAACTGGCATAGCAGGTACTCCTTTAACCCACTACACCAAACTCAGACCCTTAAAGAGATGGGTCTGAGTTTGGTGTAGTGGGTTAAAGGCATACCTGCTATGCCAGTTGCTGTGAGGCTTCTGTGCTGGCTAGGGTTCGAGTCTCCTGGTGGGAAGGTGTTCTAAAGTTGTAAAACTTCACTTGCGTGTTTAGGCAAGCTAGTCCATATTATTTATATATATATATTTATATATTTATATATATATATATTATATATTTATATATATTTATATATTTATATATATATATATATATATATATATATATATATATATATATATATATATATATATATATATATATATATATATATATATATATATATATATATATACACACACACACACACACCAACCCGTTCTCGCACTTGCGTATAGTCAATATTGGCTTATTAAATAAGTGAATATGTGACATACTAATTTATTGTGAATATTTTAGTTTACCTTGATAAGCTTCATAGAAAACACTGACCTTACCTAACCTTCTTAGTATGTTAAGCTAAGTATCTTATTGCTTCTTAATTACAATTAAGACTTAACCTATTATAGGTATAGATTAAGTAATAATTGTAATTAAGGAGCAATAAGATGCTTATCTTAACATACTAAGAAGGTTAGGTAAGGTTGGTGTTTTCTATGAAGCTTTTCAAGGTAAACTAAAATATTCACAATAAATTAGTATGTCACATATGCACTTATTTAATAAGCCAATACTGACTATACGCAAGTGCGAGAACGGGTTGCACACACACACACACACGAGTATAAGTATGATGAATTTTATGTGTAAACTAAGTCTTTGAAAATGTAATAAGCATTACGAAACGCGTTCAAGTGTCAGACCAGAAATAAAGAATGAATTTTGGAGAGTTAATTTATCAATTACCCTCAACTGTGAAGAAGAACGTAAGAAATATTGAGAAGATTCGTGTTAGATTATTAATCTTACCCTTTCGGTCATATTCAACAACATATGTTTACAAGAAAGACTGCTACCAAAATATATTAATATATATATATATATATATATATATATATGTGTGTGTGTGTGTAAATTGCGAAAATTAACACGTGATGTAAAAATATACATACATACATATATGCTGTATAAATAAATAAATAAATACAGTAAATAATGTACACCACACACATGTATGAATATTACACTTGGGGAAGCAACACCTGCGTGACACCAATAGTCCCCCCCTCCCCCCATATAAACAACCTCTCTTCTCTAACAGCACACATCGCATTTTGACTAATAAATCCTTTAAGGCCAAAAACTGATGTACTATAAAAATCATAGCGGCTGGCACCATTGCCGCGATGTCCCGTTTTCTATGCGTGGGGGTCCTTGGTTAAATTCCTTCAATTTGGTACATCATTTTAGTGACGTTGTGAAAGCTTGAGAGGCTGCATAGATATGTTCATTTATGCAGAATGTAGAAGAGAGGATATAGACAATATTGATTCATTTATGCAATAATGAGACAAGGGGGTATCACACCAGCCATATAATTGAATAAGAGGCTGGTGGCCAGGAGCTGGAACTCGTTCTGCACAACAGGAAATAGATGAATTCAAACATCTGATGAAAAGTATTTTTTACACTAACAACCTGACCTATATTACCGGTAACCTTAAAACGCCTTACACTCTTAAGACAATTTATACGATACTTGAACCTATTAGGCTAGTGAACACGTGTGAATACACACACTCGTACATCATCTTTCCTGTCCCTTCAAGCACGTATTTACGTGTATTAAACAACTGCACGGCTGACGTCAGCACGTGTACCTACAACTACGGAAAGAACATCTGAGTAACATCCTTGTGTATCTGGTTATCTACACTTGGGGTGGATTACAAGTGTGTGTACCAGGCAGCGCCTGTCACTCCACCTGTATGTCTCAGTATGTACGACCTCAAGTCGTACATCCGGCTCATCTACAGTGAAAAGCTCAGTTCCCAAAGGTACCGTACTTGTTCCAGCACTTGTTCTCATCCTAATATCAGACACAGACCAGGATACAAACTACAGCACTGTATCATTTGCAGATAACACTGGGATTTTCACGCGAGTAGACAACATAGAGGACACGGCAATCATCTAATTGGGTGTAAATCGCGTCTTTCAATGGGCTACAGATAATATTAATGAAAAATAAGTTTCAGCTCCTGTGCTATGGAAAAAATTAAAAACTGAATCAAATCACACTGTAGAACGAAGGAGCAATGAAAAGGATCTAGGAGTAATCATGTCAGAAGACCTTACCTTTACAGAACACCATAAAGTAGCTGTCACGACTTCAAGACAAATTACAGGTTGGATAACAAGGACCTTTCAAACAAGGGATGTCAAACCAATTATGATACTTTTCAAGACACTAGTGCTCTCTAGGGTGGAATATTATTGCACTTTTGCACAGCCCGATTCAGAGCCGGAGAAATTACTAAACCTAGAGAGCGTGCAAAGATCCTTTATCGCTAGAATTCACTCTATAAGTCATCTTAATTATTGGGACCAATTAAAAGTTCTAAATCTGTATTCGCAAGAGCACAGGCGAGAGAGATACATAATAATTTTCACATGGAAGACATTAGAGGGACTGCTTCCAAATGTGAACACAGTAATAACATCACATGAGACCAGGAGGCATGGCAGGATGTGCAGAATACCCCCGTTGAAAAGGCAGAGGTGCAATAAGTACGCTGAGGGAGAACTATCAGCACTAAAGCTACACAAGGTAGCCCAGGTAGGGTAGACACCATTATATACTACCACAACACCTCCACGCCGTTATGTAGGAGCAGAACAACTATAGGGAAGGACGAACACCTTTACACAAATGATCCACCCCCACCTCCA